GAAGTGCACTAAGATTTTTGTGACAACCCACAAAGTCATAGGATCATAGGATTGTAGATTTAGACCTGGAAAGGACCTCAGAGGTCATGAAGTACAATCCTCTTATGTTACAGAATAAGGAAAATGAAGTCCAGAGATATGGAATGATTTATCTGGATAGTGACAGAGTCTGGGTTTGAACCCAAGTCCAAACCCTTCATTTTCCCAAAGGAGGAAATGGAGGCCTGAGAAGCAAAGTGACTTGTCCAAGACTATATGGGATAAGAGTTATGATGTGCGACTGGGACTAGAGCCCAGATCTTCTAACTTTACACACAGTTCTCTTTCTGCTACCCTTTGCTACTTCCCACGTGAAAATCAGAAGTTTGGGAAAAGATCACAAACCTGGCACAGAGGCCTGATATAAGAGTGATGGAGGATTTCAATTATCTAGACATATGCTGGAACTCCTTCTCTGCCAAAAGAAGAGCAGCCAATAACTTCTTGGTTTGCTTTTGAGATCATTTCCATCCTGCAAATGGTGAAGGCACCAACAAAGGGAAATTCTTTCCTGGGTTTGATTCTCCCTAACAGGGAGGAACTGGTTACTGGGTTGGAAATAATGGGACTCTTGGGGAGAGGGGTCTGCCCTGGACTTGTTTCATTACAGAACTCAAAGCAGGATGTTGACAATTTCCACAGCTTCCTTGTTCAGGAGGAGGAGGGATCTTCTATTCTAAAGTTTGTGATGGAGGAAAGGAAATCTTAAGATAATCTGATAGGCAGCCTAGATTTTGGGAAAGAAATTCCAAAGGCACAGAGAAAATGTCGGTAGAATCCGATGGACTAAAATGCTACAGGTGAAGCCAGCCCAGGAGGGATGGGAGGTTCTCAAGAATGAAATCTGAAGACACAAAGGAAAATAATTCCAGTGAGGAAAAAGAGTGGGATTTGTCTGAAGGAACCAATGCAGATGCATAGGAAACTCACCAATCAAGTTAGACTTTAAAAAGGAATGTATAGGAAAATGGAAGCAAGGTCAGGTAGCCGGAGATGAGTATACAGGTATAGCATGGTCTTGTAAAAATGGTGTAAGGATACTCAATGGCCAGTGGTTGCTGAGGGACAATATACGGACAATAAGAAGTGTATTTTTTAAATGGCAATTTTTGGGGAAAAAGAAGAGTCAAAGAAGGGATAAGACCTTTGCTGCTCAACTCTGATTCGTTTTCTCTGAAAAGAAGAATTATAGAACAAAAATCTCTAACAGGGAGTTGACATACAAAATAAGGAGACAGTAAGAAAATTGCTAGCTGCCTTTGATGGATTAAAGCTACCAGGTACAGATGAACTATACCCTTGGGCTCTCATCACTTTTCTGTTACTGCAAGAGAGTCGTCCTCTGGTCTTCAACTGGTCTTCCTGCTTCAAGAGGCTCCCCATTCCATTCCATTCTACACTGTTACCAAAGTAATTTTCCTTAAGCCCAGATCTGATCACATGACTGCCCAACTCTAGTGGCTTCCTAGTGTCTCTAGAATATAATGTAACCTTCTCTGTTTGGCCTTGAAAGCCCTGCACAAACTGGCCCCAACCTACCTTTCCAGACTCATTGGACATTACTGTCTTACTTATACTCTATAATCCAGCCAAACAGGTTTTCTCTCTATTCTTTACTCAGTGTGCTTCATCTCCTATGTCTTGCCTTTGAACTGTCTATTCCCCATGCCTGGAATGCCCTCTGCCCCATGGTACCTTGTCCTGAACTACTTTATAAGTATATATTTACTTTATGTCATATACATGTATATATGTGTATATAGATAGATAGATACATATACATATACACATATAATTATATGTATTTGTTGTCACCCCCATTGAAATGTAAGTTCTTTGTGGGTAGAGATTATTTTGTTCTTTCTAATTGTATTCCCAGCACCCAGCACAGTGAGGTACCTATTACACAGTGGTGGCTAGTCATTTAGTCAATAAACACTTATTAAATACTTACTATGTGCCAATGCCAGTGAGTGCTAGGAATTTGTTGTTGTTTTTGTTGGGCAATCTCAGCCGTGTCTGATTATTTATGACCCCATTTGGGGTTTTCTTGGCAAAGATACTGGAGTGGTTTTCCATTTCCTTCCTCAGCTCATTTAATAGATGAGGAAACTGAGGCAATCAGGGTTAAGTGACTTGAACAGGGTCACTTAGCTAGTAAGTGTCTAAGGTCAGATTTGAACTCATGAAGATGAGTATTTCTGACTCCAGGCCCAACACCCTACCCACTTTGTCACCCAGCTGCCCTGAGTGCTATGGATACACACACACACACACACACACACACACACACACACACACACACACACCCTGCTCTCAAGGAACTTACAGTCTAAGGGGGAAAGGCAACACACAGAAAGAAGCTGAAAAGTGGTGAGGGAGGTACCCAATGTGGGGGCATGGTAGAAAAGTCAGAGAATTCCCAAATCAGTACAGCCAGGTAAGAAATGAGGAGATGTTAGGAGCTGAGCCCCCTCCTTAAATGGAGGCTTTAGAGTTCATGGCTCTGCCCTGTAATCACAAAGGGTAGTCATGAGATGGAGTACCAAAGCTAATGGGATCTTGTAGGATGATAAAGTTTTCCTAATAATGTATTAATAAATACTGAATTGGGGGCAGCCAAAAAGCATAGTGAATAGAGTGCCATTCCTAAAGTCAGGAGGATCTGAGTTCAAATGTGGCCTCAGACACTTACTAGCTGTGTGACCCTGGGCAGGTCACTTAACCCTGTTTGCCTCAGTTTCTCCATCTATTAAATGTGCTGTGGAAGGAAGTGGCAAACCACTCCAGTATCTTTGCCAAGAAAACCCCAAATGGGGTCACAAAAAGTTGGACACCACTGAAAATGCCTGAACAACAACACTAAATTAGTTGATGTGGGAAATGCTGTGGATACAATTCATCCAGATTTTGGAGATCCTTTTTGTTAATGCATCTCAATTCAATAAGTTTTTTTTTTTTATTAAATGTCTACTATGTTTCAGGTACTGTGTCATGGTCATGCCTATATTCTCCAGTATTTTCTGTCTCAGTCTAAAATGAAGAGATACATTAGATGGTCATTCATCTGGATGAATTCATAACTGCTAGGATGGCTGGATTGAAATAGTTGTTAATGGCTAAATGTCAGCTTAGCAGAAGGCCTCCATGGGAGTACCTCAGGAATCTGTCTGGCCTGCGCCATTCAGCACTTTTTCAATGACTTGGATAAAGGCAAAGATGAAATAAATGCTCCTCATATTTGCAGATGATGCAAGGCTAGGAAGGGTAGCTAACATAATGGATGACTGAATCAGGATCCAAAAGGATATTGACAAACTAGAACACTGCATTAATAAAACGAAATTCAATAGGGATAAATGTAAAATCTCATACTTGGGTACAAAAAAAATCAACTTCAGAGACATAAGATTGGGGCAGCATGGTTTTAGACAGCAGTTGCTCTGGAAAAGATCTGGGAATCTTAATATGAGTCAGCAGTCTGATGTGGCAGCCAAAAAGATAATGGGATATCACACTTCATTAAGAACTTAATAGTAAGTTTCTAGTAGTAAGTAGTAACTACTTCTTACTAGTAAGTAGTAAGTAGTAAGCTTCTTAGTAGTAAGAAGATGGTAGCCCCTCTGTGCTCTGCTCTTGTCAGATTTCATCCATCTTCAGTTCTGGGCATCACACTTACAGCTGAAAGATATTTACAAACTGAAGAGTCTAGGGAAGGACACACAGGATGGTCAAGGCACAGGGGTGGGGAACCTGTGGCCTGGAGGCCCCATGTAGCCCTCTAGATCCTCAAGTGTGACCCTTTGACTGACTCCAACCTATGAAGTTTGGGGTTTTCTTGGCAAAAATACTAGAGTGGTTTACTATTTCCTTCCTCAGCTCATTTTACAGATGAGGAAACTGAGGCCTAGTCCAGTTTGGAGTCAGTCAAAGGGCCACATTTGAGGATGTAGAGGGCCACGTGTGGCCTCCAGGCCCCAGGATCCCCACTCCTGGTCAAGGCATTGAGTCCATGTCATTTATAGTAGGTTGAAGTAATGAATTTTAACTTGGTTAAAAAAAGACTCAGGGGGACATTATAGCTGTCTTCAAATATGCGAAGGGCTGTCATCTGGAGGAATGATTAGGCTTTTTTCTGCTTGGCTGCCAAGGGCAGAACCAGGAGCAACTAGAAGTTACAAAGAAACCAATTTAGATTTGATGTCAGGGAAAGCTTCCAACAATTAGGAAAATTCCTAACAATTCCTGTCCCAAAGTAGAATGGGCTGTATTGAGAAGTTCTGGGCTTCCCCTCCTTGGAGATCTTTAAGCAAAGGGTAGAACATCATGACTTGTCTTGTATGTGATACTGTGATACTGGTATGTGATACATGCCCCTTTGGGGCATGGGTTGGGATGGATGGATGCTGAGAACTCTGCCAACTCTCAGATTCCATGATTCTATGATTTCTAGCTTTGCTACACAGTGCTGCTCTTGATTCACAATACAATTATTAATTATTCTTATTAATTAATTGAATTCCACTGTAGTCTCACAAAATCAGATTAAATTGTCATTTAGTTGTCTACCCAAGACTAGTTCAGCCCAGTTTGGAGCTCTCTATCCCAACCGGTCAGTTCCATTCCATTCAGCCAAGTCCAGCACCTGCCTGTCCCTGCTCCTTGGGTCATCTGCCCAGCCCAGACCTTCTTGGTTCCTTTCCTCTTAGCTAAGTCTTAGCACTTAGATTTCTAGTCATTGTTGAAGTGGCTATAATGTCCCCTTTTAAGCTTGTATAACCTGGATTTTGTCTGTACCTCTAATTTCTAACACAATTCCAGTGGAAATAGTTGTCCCTCTATATCATCATTTTGCTTAAAGTATAAATATATATTTTTGCTGAACCAGTTAATGGCATGTGGTGGGTCATGCCTGTATTCTCCAGTGTTCTCAGTCTCTTTTTCTCTCTTTTTTCCCCCAGTGCTGATCAATTGAGGAATGTGACAGTATATGAGCCACAGCCAGGAAAATAATGCCTCCACAAACTTCCAAAAAATAAGAGTTGCTTTTTGTATTTTGGGAAAAGTCCAGAAGGAAAAAAAAATCACACATTTGACAGAATTGCAAGATTCTCTTTTGCTATCAGACTGATGGAGACATAAGAAAAACCAGTTCTAACAAGAACAGAAGAACCCAGTCAGGTTGGAATGATGGTTTCAGAGATGGGTGGGGAGCATCTTCTGTAATAAAATTATGTTTCTTATTCAGTTGCAAGAGGTTAATGTATAGATGTTTGTATTTGTTCAGGTGAAATATTTCTTCTCATCATAGAACCCAATTCACTTTTTAGTGGATATCCATGACATCTTGGGAGGGCAATGGCTAGCATTTCTCTCTTCTTTTGTCTATTTGCTTCCTTTGACTTTTGAGTACATCTATGGAAATCATAATATATACAGTAGAAATAGGCCTTGGACCTGTGATTTCATTGCTATAAGGAACTTCTAGGTGAGGTTCCAAGGCAGGTCTGCACCTTCTCTGCAACTTATAGTCTTGGAGAACTGCTTGGGGGTACTGAAAGTTTTAAGAGACTGGTACAGGGTCAAAAAACTAGTATGTGTCAGCAACAGTACCTTAACCTAAGTCTTCCTGGCTTCGAGATCAGACATATGTTCATGGCAACCATGCTACCTCTCAAAGATATGCTACTGGCAGGAACCATTCATTTGTAGAATTCTTGTCTACCATGTGGAAAGTCCAAGTTTGATTCCCAGGCCAAGACATAAAATATTGGTGCCCACATAGGCCATCATATAGGTCGTAGCCTTTGACGTAGGAGAAAACTGAGGCCCAAAGAAGTCCTTGAGTTGATCCAGGTTCTGCAGATAGTGGCAGAGACACTGCCAGAGCCCCCACATATGTTGCCTCCCATCCAATGTTCATCGCATTATCACTTGGTTTGCTCACTGATTTTGTGAAGCTTAATGAAAACATTAAGTACAACCATCAAATTTTTCAGAAGGTACACATCTAGTTGTGCTGCCCAGGTTTTTTTTGCTTATTCTGCTCCCGTTTTCTGTTTGGCTGCGGTTATTTCATGGTTTATTAGCATCTGAACTTGAACATGATGGGGGAAAGAAAGAAGGCAAAATTTAAAATAGCCCACTGTCTGTCGTTTAAAGCCATTCACAACCTGGCTTCTTCCTATGTTTCCAGTTTTCATACACTTTGTTTCCCTCCACGTGGTTCTACAATCTAGCTAAATGAGCATACCACCCCCCTACTCCAGGCCTTTTCAGTGGCTGTCCTAAATAACCTGGAACATGCTCCCTTTGTCTCTTGACTTCCCTGACTTCCTCAAGATAGCTCACAGTCTTCAGTAGTAGTTTGAGATGCTGATTGTATATTGAGATACTAAATTGCATATGAAGTAAGCAGTAATTCTCGGACTTTTTGACCCTAAGCCAATCAGGGGCTGACTAGAAATGTTTGGGTCGTCTCCATTAATGAAACCAAGCAACGTAGGGAGAGCTTGGCCCAAATGAACTTTTGCCACTAACTAGCCGTGTAACCTTAGAAAAATCACTTTCTCTCTCTGGGCCTCAACTTCCTCATCCGTAAAATGAGAGGGCTGTACTGGATTGTCCACTGAAGGGCCTTCCAGCTCTAATTGTAATTTAGATTCTGGCTCTAAAATTTTTTTTTTAAGTGAACTCCCTGTTTCACAGGGTTACTGTGAAGAAAGTGATTTGAAAATCATAAAATGGGAACTAGTCTTCAGTCTTCTCTGTTTCTGCGAGTCCTGGCATCGAGGGCTTCTTAAGCCCCAGGGCCCTGGTGTGGCTGGGCTGTCTGCGCATGTGGTGGGTACCCCACCCTCCCCCCAAAAAGGGGCTTTTGGCCAAACAGGAACTATTTGGCTTCCTGATGAAGTACAGATTCAGCCCTTCCCGAAGCTGAGCGTTTCTCTCCACCTCCTCACCAGAGGACTAAAGAAAGGCTAATGGAGATCCTGCCCTCTGTCTTTCTTACTGTATCATTTTGGATTTATCAAACGTCTTTCCTTAAAAAAGAAAAAAAAATGGAGACCAAAGCACTGGGTTATGGATTAGGCGGCATGGCTTTCTCCTGATCACTCAGCAGAACTCTGTTTCATCTCTCCAGGCCCCTGGCTCTAATTAGCTGTACACAAACTATGTGTGTGGTGGGAGGGGCCGATCCTTTGCCCCCCTCATCATCTGCATGGCAACTCTGCAGGAGCGAGGAGTGGGAGACAGATGATGCTTCCCTGCTGCTGGGCCCCTGTCTGTGAACCAAAGAGTTCTATTCTCTTTTGACTTGAGCTGACACCAAGCAGCCCCTCCTGCCTCTGGATCATGTTGCAGGCTATTATGCAACACGGCCTTGTGTTGCAAACAAATGCTAAGAGCAGTCTAAACCATGTAAGGCAAAGACTATAACTAACCAGAGAAATTGCTTATTTGGGGTTCAGATACCTGTTCAAAATTCAAATTCATTGACCCAGTGCATAGGAACTTTGATTGAAAGATGGAAAAGACCTTAGAGATTGGATGGATGAACCTCCTTGTTTGAAAAGCAGGTAACTGAGGTCCAGAGAGAAGGTAAGTAATTTGTCCAAAGGGTTCAGGCAACGTTCAGAGTGGCAAAAGCCGGGAATTGAATCCTGCTCTTAGACTTCAAACCCTGGGCTGGTTCCACAACCCTACACTGCCGATGTTGATAATACCTCACTCATCCCTATCCATAACAATAACAACAATGAAAAATCACTGCAGAGAACTGAGAATCCTGGGTACTTTCCCCCACCCTGTAGTCTGAAAGGCTTTGAATATGCTCATCAAACCAAATTCTCATGTACCCCCCTATTCTTCCTGTATGTGAGAGAAAGTGAATGTATAAACTGAGAAATGGGTTTGGGGTGGTGGTGGTGGTGGTAATTAGCTACTACAGCTAGTGCTAACTGGGCCAGGGCTATGTATATCCTCTGAAAATTAATTATAAGGAAAGTTTTGATGGAAGGTGAGAAGAACTGAGAAGAGTCAGGGGGAGGCAGGGGTACGGCGCACTGTTCCCTCAGCCCTTGCCACACTGTGCCTTGTGAAAACTTTAAAAATTCAGAAACTCTCAAGAAAAAGGGGAATTCGTTTTCATGACACGCAAGTGAATCTTCAATCCGCCCATTCTCTGGCATGTCTTTCTTAGGGAGAAAACTATGAAAAAAGCTTTGCATGCGGCAGTCACGTTGCCATCTGTCTCTGCAACCCGCTGGTACCCTGTAGTGCCCAGGGACAGCACTTTGCAATCGTTCGAATTGAAATCTGGCACTGGGAGAGGTTAGTGGGGCCTCTACCGTTCCCTATTCCACCCCTCTCAGCACTCCCTGAAAAGAAAACAGGTCAGCACTTCACGTGCCCTTTATCTCCCTTGGCTGAAACTTCCAGGTCTCGATTTTGCACCTCCTGGCTCCACCCCCAGCGCCGAGTTGGGCATCAGTAGCTGAAACAGGAAGCAAGATGCAGTGCACCCAGAGAGAGATAAAAGTGCTTCTGAAGGAGGAGGAAGAAGAGGAGGTGGGGTGGCCTGGATGTATGTGTGTGTGTGTGTGTGTGTGTGGTGGTCTTTTTCCATCCCCACCACCCTGGCTTTCTTTGAAGTCCTCTCATTTACCCATAGATTATGTAGAATGATCATCTCATCAGAAGCACTAGTTTGCCTGTGTCATGGTCTAAGAAAGGGATTCCCTCCTCCCCTAAACAGTGCTAGGAATCTACTCAGATTTTGCAACTTGACCTGGTATATCTGTAACCAGCAGCTGCAGGCCCCATCTGCTGGGGACTTTCTGTGAGCATCTTTTCCGCAGCATTGTAGGATTTTAAGCTAGAAAGGGCCTTAGAAATGACCTAGTACAACCCAATCATTTTACATATGGGGGAAACTGAGACCTAGAGAGACAAAATGACATGCACAAGGGAATTAAGTAGGTAAGTGGAAAAGTCAAGCCAAGCCAAGCCACCTAACTCCAAGCCTGGTAGTCCTTTCCCTAGCTACCAGACTCTCTCTTGAGCTCCCCAACCCCCACTCCCTTTCTTTTCCCTCCAAACCTTTAAGAAAATGAAAGTGGACTCTTTCCCCACAGTGAGGCTGGGGGGCCCTGACTGAGTATCTCAAAGCTATTTCCTTTCTTTTTTAGATTTGAAGAGAAAGAGCTGGGAATTGTGGCTTCAGCTGTCCTCAGAGTAAAGGACGAGGTTCTTACACAATGGTGTGTTATGTTTGTCGTTTTCCTTTCAACGTTTACACACAAAACCTGACCACTTAGACCACCCTGTTGCTGTTACCTAACAAAGACAAATAAAAGGCAAAACTCCTTTAAACCGTGAATAGTCACAATTGATTATTTGCCTCCTTTCGGTTTGCTTTCTCCCCCCACTCCCCCACCCCCACCCCTTGCAGCTCCCAGTTCCTGAAGTGGATGAATCCTATGGATCCTGGAAAGAGTATTTTATTAGTTCACTCTCCAAAGGCTCCATAAGCTATCCCTGTAACTTTCCAAAACAAAACACCCCTCCCTGAACACCATTCCCTTGTGGATGTTATTTCCATAGAACTTCTGAGAGCAGAGCCATCTTCGATTTTTCCCCAATTAATAGTATTTTATTTTTTCCAATTACATGTAAAGACAGTTTTGACTTTCATAAGATTTTGAGTTTCATATTTTTTTCTCTCTCCTCCCCAAGATGGCATACAATCTGATATAGGCTATAAATGTACAATAATATTAAACATATTTCCACATTAGTCATGTTGCGAAAGAAGAATCAGAACAAAAGGGGAAAATCATGAGAAAGAAAAAAAAAGTAGAGAAAATAGTATGCTACAATTTATATTAGGACTCTATACTTCTTTCTCTGGATGTGGGGAGCATTTTCCATCATGAGTCTTTTGGAATTGTCTTAGATCATTGCATTGCTGAGAAGAGCTAAGTCTATCAAAGTTGATCATTGTACAATGATACCGTTTCTGTGTTCAATGTCCTGGTTCTGCTCATTTCACTCAGCATCAGTTCATGCAAGTCTTTCCAGGTTTTTCTGAAATCTGCCTCCTCATCATTTCTTATAGCACAACAGTATTTCATTACATTTGTATACCATAGCTTGTTCAACCATTCCCCAATTGATAGTCATCTCCTCAATTTCTAATTCTTTACCATCACAAAAAGAGCTGCTATACATATTTTTGTACATGTGGATCCTTTTCCATTTTTAATGATCTCTTTGGGATATAGAGCTAGTAGTGGTATTGCTGGATCAAAGGATATACACAGTTTGATTGCCCTTGGGGCATAGTTCCAAATTGCTCTCCAGAATGGATGGATCAGTTCACAACTCCATCAACAAAGCCATCTTCAATTTTGTATTTGTAGCTCTAGTTCTTAGCACAGTGCCTGGCACACAGCAAGCTCTTAATAAATGATCATTCATTCTGCTTACAGGGTAAGGGCAACGGGACTCAATCTATGATTTTATTGGTATAGAGAATTCCCATGAAGAAACCCTCTACCAATGCATACTGGCACCTTCTCTGTAATTTATCATTTTAGAGAGAGCTGTCTAGGGTAGTGAGAGGATAAATGATGTGCTTGGGGTTATACAGTTAGCAAGAGACAGATCTTCCTGACTCTGAGGTCAGCTCTCTAACCACAAAGCTGTGGTATAAGGTAAGATACTGTTGAAAAATATTAAGAGATTGCTAAGTGGTTTGGACAAAGTAAGTGAATGGCAAATTTCTAGTGGTCCTTAACCTTTGAGTTGAAGGTATAAGACAGTGTTCTTCTTCAACATGTCCCTTGGCACCACAATCAGACAAGATATAGGGCTGTGTGGGCCAAAGGTCTGACCCAATGTGGCAGTTCTTACATTCTTATGGAACTTTGGCTGTATTAACATTTGGGATAATAATGGCTATCTATCAAATTATAGGAATGGCAGTATTTCAGTCAGTCAAATATCAACAAGAACTAATTAAGTGCTTGCTATATTCCAAGCAGCTAGGTGGTGCAGCCAGTAAAAGGCTAGGCCTGGAGTCAGTTATACCTGAGTTCAAATCCAGCCTCAGATGATTGCTAGCTGTGTGACCCTGGGCAAGTCACTTACCCTTGTTTGCCTCAGTTTCTTCATCTGTAAAATGAGCTGGAGAAGGAAATGGCAAACCACTCCAATATATGCACTAAAAAAAACCCCAAATGAGATCACAGAGAGTCAGACATGACTGAACAGCAGCAACGATAGCAACATTGATATGTTCCAAGCACTGTGCTTGGCAAGCTAGGTGGCATGGTGGATAGAATACTGGGCTTGGAATGGGGCCTCTAACCTCAGGCACTTGATGTCTGTATTACCCTGGGCAAGTCACTTAAGCTCGTTTGCTTCGCTTTTCTCATTGATAAAATGGGGATAATAATAGCACCTACCTTGTTGTTATAACATCAAATGAGATAATACCTGCAAATAGTGCCTGCCATATTGTTGTTCACTTGTGTCTGACTCTTTGGGACCCTATTTGGGCTTTCTTGGCAATGATACTGGAGTGGTTTGCCATTTCCTTCCCTAGCTCATTTTACAAATGAGGAACCTGAGGCAAACAGGGTTAAGTGACTTATCCAGGATCACACAGCTAGTAGGTGTCTGAGGCCAGATTTGAACCCAGGAAGATAAGCCTTCCCAACTCTAGGCCTGGTGTTCTATCCACTGTGTCATCTAGCTCATGGTAGTGTTAGCTATTATTATCATTAGGGAGACAAAGCGGGACAAAAACACAATCTCTGCATTTCAAGGAATTCAAATTCTAATGAAACTGCAACATGCAAAAAATTGTTCATGCAAGATGCATACCGTGTAAATATTGAGTACTCTTGGCAGAAAGGGGCTAGAGGTAGGGGTGGGAATTAGGGCATGGAAAAGGCTTAGGGAAGGCCTCCTGCACAAAGTGGGATTTTAGCTGAATCTTTAAGGAAATAAGGAGGTGGAACATTCCAGTCATGGAAGACAGCAAGGGCCAGCTCTTGGAGTCAGGAGATGTTGTGGTAGACCAATGTAGTTGGATTGTAGAGAGCATAGAGGGGAGTTAAGAGCAGTTAAGTAGTTAAGAAGACTGGAAAGACAGGAAGGGGCCAGGTTGGGAAGGAGTTAAAGTGACAAACAATGAATTTTATGTTTGATCCTGAAATAGAGAGCCATTGAAGTTTATTGAGTAAGGTAACATGCTCAGACCTGCTCTGTAGGACCATCTCTTTGGCAGCTGAGTGAAGATGGGTAGAATGGGGAGAGACTTTGAGTCAGGGAGACCCACCAGAGGGCAACTATGATGGTTCAGGAGTGAGATGATGGAGGACTTGCCCCAGGGTGGTATCTGTGGGAGTAGAGAGAAGGGGGCTGTATGCAAGAAATATGGTGCTAGAAACACCAAGACTTGGCAATAGATCAGATATTTGGGATGAGTGCCAGTAAGGGATCAGGGATGCCACCCAGGTTTAGAGCCTGGGTTACTGATAGGAAGGATAGTGGTGCCCTTGAGAGAGTAATGGTGGATTTGGAAATAAGAAAATGAGCTCTGCTTGGGACATAATGAGTTTGAGATATCTATAGAACATTAAGTTAAAGATGTCTTAAGAAGCAGACGATGATGAGAAATCACAAAAGAGGTTAGGGCTGGAAATGGTTTTCTGGGAATCATTTATTTAGAAATGATAGTTGAATCTATGGGAGCTAAGAAGAGCAAGTGAGACAGTATGGAAATAGAAGAGAAAAGGGTGCTGGACAGACCATGGTTGGTGAGAGTGACCTGAATGAAGATCTGGCAGAGGAGCCCTAGGCCACTCTTATAGTCAAGAAGACCTAGGTCCTGAGTCCTGTCTCTGACATGTACTCATGTGTAAACATGAGCTAATCACTTGACCTTTCATCGTCTGTGGCACCCTTTTTTTCCTGTTTTGTTTTTGCTTGTTTTATTTTATTTTTTAAAGCATTATACTCACTTTAAAAAATAGCATTTTATTTTTTCCAGTTACACGTAAAGATAATTTTAACATTCATTTAAAAAAATTTTTGAGTTCCAAATTTTCTCCCTCCCTCCTTTCCTTCCCCCCTTCCTAAAGCAGTAAACAATTTGATATAGGTTATATAGGTGCAATCATGTAAAGAATATTTCCATATTAGTCATGTCGTGAAAGAAGAAACAGACCAAAATGGAAGAACCATGAAAAATTAAAGAGAGTGAAAATGGTATGCTTCAATTTGCATTCAAACTCCATCAGCTCTTTCTCTGGATGGGGATAGCATTTTCCATCATGAGCCCTTTGAAACGGTCTTGGATCATTGTATTGCTGAGAAGAGCTAAGTCATTCATAGCTGATCATCCCTGTGGTAACTTTCTAAGACAAGTTAAAGACAAGTTACTGAGTCAGTGGAGACAGGTTCCACAATGGGCCTTCCCCGTACCCAGTGAAATCTCAGGTCCAGATCTTCCTACCCTAAATCAACACAGAGCATTTTCAGGCTTATGAAACACTTTTCATGTACTCTCTAATTTGTTCCTTGGAACAACAAGGTGATGTGATACTTCCGGATGCACTAATTTTAATTATTGAACCTGAATATTGTAGTGGAAATAACACTGAACTAGGAGCCCAGAATCCTGTGTTTTAATTGTGTTTCTAACATATGACTATCCGTATGACCTTGTACGAGTCACTAAGCCTAAATTTCCTCATCTGCAAAATGAGGAAGTTTAGCTTCAAAAAAAGCCTAGGATTCAACGATTCTAGTAGGGTTTTACGGATGAATCAGCTCGAAAAGCTGTCCATCAAAAAAGAAGGGAGAGCAGTGAGTGGCAGAATGTCTCAGGATAGGAAGTAGGAACCTCTTACAGCTTTGCTCCAGTTACCTCTCCATTGTAGGAAATGCTAAAATCATCACTAGCATGTGTTCTCCATGTGGGCTACTTCCTCTTTCCTGTCTGATCTGGAAACCTGTAACTAAGGAAGCAAGCAGGCAAACAAGAGGTGCTCGGTGTCGAGCATGAACAGATGGCTGGTTGGTGATTAGTTATGTGAGGAGGGGATGGCAGAATGGGCTCTAAGGAAATTGCTCTCCAAGTGTGACCTGGGGAAAACTGGTTGTCTCCCAGATACTCCAAGGGAACCACAGGCAAGCCTTTTGTGGTATTAATGTTTTTGACTTGACAAAGGTCTATACTTTTGCTTCTAGAAGGAATTAAACTTCTTTATTAGATCCTTCAAAATCAGGGCTTACTTTGATATTTCAAGGGACCTGTGATTTCATTGGCATGGGTCACAGATAACAAACCTGTCACGAG